AATTCTGAAAATAGGGAAAAATATTCATGACGTTTAATGAAAATCATCTGTCACTTTCTGAGCAGCATACCTGCCATTTCTACAGAAGAGGCCCAAGTTTGCCCAGAAACCTCAATTTTTTCAGTAATTCCACTCTTCCATTTTTTCAGTAATTCCAGAATTTCAAGTTCTTTTTCTTGGGCAGAATAACCCAAAAGCAATAGAACACATGTTGTTTTCTCATGTAACACAAAGTAGTGATGGTGTGAGAGTGCCTGTGTCGAACTACAGCATTACAGGTCTTGGACTCCTTTGTAGTGAGTGGTGCATGGGGAATTGCTGAACTAAATGACAGGTGAGTCTGCATCTGTCCTGGAGCAAATGCAAGTTCTGTCCTCCTGCTGCACTCAGCCACCCAGCTGTGGCACGCTCAGCTCCACAGCCCCTGTAGCTGTGCTTTCCTGACAACATGCATGAGCAAAAAAGCTGTGCTTCCTGAAATCCGTGTCTTTCGGGTGTGGGTTTCAGGTGTGTTTGCACTGTAATTAGCACTCGCGAATATGTTTTTGAAGAAGGTGGAATAGATCTGGAAAGGTTAGAAATCTTGCTTATCTGTTGGGGAAGAGGAAGAACTGTGCAGGCAGTATTGAGTTCCTTCCTTTCTGTAAACCTCTATAGGGTTGACAGAAACATGAGGGAAGAGAAAAATAAGGGTTTTTTTAATTCTTCTTGACATAGTCTACATGTGTTCTCTTTTTCTCGTACCCTATGCCTCTCCTCTTCCTTTGTCTTGCTAACTTTTTCCCTTGTCACAAAACGTTTACATGTGGGGAACGGTGAGATAACACAGCATAAACTAACTAATAGTAATTTCCTACAAATGTGTCACATATTTCTAATAAGTGGCTTTTCCATGTTCTGTAGGGGTTGCTCAAACTAGAATTGAATACTCAAAACATTTCCTCCATCTGTAAATATATAATGAGCCTGTGCTACGTCACATTTCCCAGGGCTGTATGGTTATAAAGGAAAGACCCACTTAAAATGCTCTTGATGCAGCCAGGGCAGCCCTTGTTTCTAAATGGCAGCTGTGTTTAACTTTTTCTGGGTACAGTAAATACCCATTGAGCCATTCTTTTTGCTTTTTTTTTTTTTTTTTTTTTTTTTTTTTTTGTAAATTTTATGTCACAGCAATCTGGATTTAATGTTGCTCTAATCCCACATTGTAATGTAACGACAATGAAATGATTCTCACACTGGTCTACAGAGAATCTGTGCTAATGCCATTAAAATGTGCTTACCGAATCAAAACAAATGCAGAATTAGCATATGGAAACTGTGTTTATGTGATTATAATGTTTCAGCAATATGAGATTACTGTAGGAAGCAACTAATCCAAACCTAGGGGGACTTCCCATTACAAGGCCATTAAAATGACACAGTGACTGAAGCACACGTTTCAGATGGGAAAAGCGGAAACATAAATCTTGTCATCAGTATTCAAGCAAAACATCTATTGAATTCAGTGGAGTTTTTACCAGAGTCAGGAATGCACCACCATGACCTTTTTAATAGCAAGTCTCTTTTCTCTTAACAATACCTCTAGGAAAAATATTTACTTCACCAGAATTTGATAGTTGGCTAATGGTGAGAGTTGTATTTTATGCACCATACAGTTGGTGGTTATAAAGATTTGTCCAGAGTTTATTACAGAAATGATAAGGTAGTGTTTCATGGTTTTTGTGAAATAGTAAAAGTTTTGGTTACATCTTAAAGCAATTTTCTCATTTTTTAGTCTGAATTTGTAATTTTCAGGAAATATAATTTATCTCTCTGTTTGTACAGCACCTAGAGCTGAGAAGTCTTGGTCTGTGCAGGAGTTCCTTGGCAATACCAGCACATAAATTAGCGATTTTCAAAACCAAAATAGCTTTTATTGCCAGATATGAACCTACCTATTTATCTTCTGTGATAGGAATCAGCACATTTTCCCATCCCCTCAGGCTGGATTAAGATTAAGGAAATATAATTCACATATCCTATGTAGAGCCATCTGAAATATATTTGTCTTGTCCTGGATTGTTTCTTGGCTCACTCCTTAGTCCATGGAAAGAGGATAACATTACAGAAAGTGACTTGTCCTGTCCTATTACAGGCATTTAAAACAAGCTAGATGAGCTGCCTATAGATATGTCTTTCCATCTCCAGATGATTGTTTTGTTGTAGACGTACATCATTTAAATGGCTAAATGAGGTGGTATGAATGCAGTCCTTGGTATATGAAAGAAGAAACTTTTTCAAAAGAAAGTTCTGTGTAAAACATGGCATGCAAGTAATGAGTAAACCATACAAACAGTGATTCCTGTAGTAACATATACATGCTTAAATTAAGTAGGAATCCTCATTCCATTTAAAAGCTATTTGCACCTAAAATCTGTTTTAAAAATGCATAATTCTGATTCCATCAAGTGAATCTTACCAGGAATAATGTATCATAGCATAACAAGGGCAGGCTCTTTATGTGAATGACAGCAGGGAAGATACCAGCACAGTAGTTTGAAAAATAATTCCAGTCACAGGTTGTTGACTGTCTTTATTTTTTATTGTTCTTTTATTAAGAGTGGTGGGTTTCTAAAACTGTGTCAGTTAACAGGAACAGGCAGTAATATTAATACATTTTTCATGAAGATAAAATTAGGCCTACTTTAAATGGTGTTTGTGTCAGTTTCCATTTCTTGTGATGCTTCTTATATTTATAAAAATCCTTGGCCTTAGTCAAAAGGTTCTGTAAATTCTGTATGTGAGCTGTAATCTGAATTCTAGAGTTTCAAAATCAACAGGTTGGTGTCTGTTACAAGAGAAACCTGGCGTGGGAACTGGTAATTGATTTGTGTCAAGCTTTATCAAAAGAAATTAAATACTTGCGTATTTAATTATATATAGGTTTGGTTTGCTAACTTAATAAATGGATTGGAAAATTGTCAGTGGACATGGGGAAAGAGAAGTGTGAATCTATTGCAGAGGGTAGTTATCACTCTGCTGTCAGGGTTTTACTGAATGCCAGAGTGTAGATTAAAACATTAAAAAAAAAGCGGGGAGGGGGGGAAATTAAAGCAAAGGTAATGCTTAGAATTGTGTCAGTTGCTTTGCTGTGCATGTAAGAATGACTCAGATCATTGAACTTTCTCCAAAATAGTGGGTTGCTCTGTATAGAGCACCAGCCTTCTTCAAGGATGGAATTAATGACTGTTTAATTGAATTGCAGCTAGGAGCAGTTTCTGACTAAGACAGGTATTTTGCTTTTAATTATTTGCTCAAGAATAATATTTTCTGAAATCATGCACTTCTTTATCTGTTTGGAAGAAAAGTAAATCATCCTATTAATCAGCCAGCAGTCTGTTCTATGAGAGTAATTTATTCTTCTACCTTCTCAAACAAGTTAACATGCTAGTTCAGGAACAAAATTCCTAAAAGAACAGTTCTTCATAATCTGCTTTTACAGAAGGCAAATAAACATAGTCATTCAGTCATTTCTCTTTTTTTTATGGATGGCTAACTCTTCATATTACAATGAGCACCAGCAGTATAGATTTCACTGGGCAGGGAATAGCTGCCTTTTCCAGGGGCTGGGTCACTTTTGTGCATTGGTGCTCTGGCAGTGACTGCTTCTCATGAGATCAAAGAATCCCCAAAGAGATCTTGATGTTCCTGTGCCCTTTGATATGTAGAGTTCAGTGCCCTTCAGATTTCAGTTTTTCTGTCATCCTGGTAGATTAACTTTAGCAGTTAAAAGGAAAATGTCCTCTGAGGGCTTTACCAGTAACAAACCCATGTTTATGACATTATTCACTAAAAGGGAGGCAGAAATGGGAAAGACCTCTCTTTAATCAATAATGCATGCTCTAGTTAGTCCTTTCCTCTGGACATGATTAAACATGTATTTTGTTTCATAACTCATGATTTTGGTTGACTAGGGATTTTAACTATATATCCTCAAGCCTTTGTGACTAGCATCTGGAAGATCTAACATGAACTGGTTAGTCAGGACTACCCCCCCTCCTAAAGGGAAAAAGCCCAAAATCCCAATAGGGAGAGCTGCAGTTAATTCTAACCTGCAGTGAGTTAAGCCAAATTGGCATGGGGCCTTTGACATGAACCAACTGCAGACTGTAGCCTCAGTGTTTGTATTTGTCACGGCTCGTTTGAAGTTTTGAGAAGTAACATTTTTTTCATTGATGTTAAAGATGAATTAAAAAGTGTCTGAGATGCTGAGCCACATACAAATTGTTAGATTAAAGTCTGTTCTTAACTGGCAAAATATTTGCCTGCTGAAGCACTTTGACTTCCTCACTGCTGTTTATGGGCCATGCTGTATCTTTGGTGGCTGTTGTCAGCCTTAGAGGAGTGGTCTTGGGCTGTTCCAGACCTCCAGAACACAGCAGGTAGGAGAACCTGAGCCGTGCTGAAGCCAGACGAGCAGATTATCACCCCCACCCCTGCATTCAACAAAGAGAGGGGTAGACTAGGTGTCCAAACACAGACTGCTTCCTCAACATGGGAGAGGGATGCTGAGTCTTGGAGGCCAGAGATAAATATACTGAACATATCAGTAAGGAATATTCAGCCTTGGTGCCAAGTGTGTTCATCTGGTGGCTGAAGCTGACAAAATTTTGACAGCTGCTGAAGAGCAAAGAATCCTAAACGAACATACAGTGGTTTTATTAAATAGGAAACATTTATCTTAATGTGATACTGACGACAGCACAATAAATGATGACAATTTCCGTGTACTGGAATGTGGTGTGTTTATATTGCTGGAGTACTAATACAAGCGCAGTTGGGTAAAATAAATGCCTTGTTTTTCATATTGACCACACTGCTACAAACAGCTTTTGGAAACAGCCCAGTGAACACACACAGAGTGTAGGTATATGTGCAAGAGGGAGTAGGGATTTCAAAAATTGCCTGAGAAAATGCTGCTCTTTCTAAAATGTTTTTGTTTTTCCTTTCTTCTTTCCCAGACTCCTTTAGGATCTGATTTTTTTCCCCTTTGTTAAAGAAAGATGCCTTCCTTGAGTGGAAAAGTGCAGACTGTCTTGGGCCCTGTGGAGCCTGACTGTCTTGGCAAAACGTTGACTCATGAACACTTGACTATGAACTACAGCAGCTGCTTTTGTCCACCTTCTCCAGGCCAAGAGGCTTTGTCTAATGGGCCCATTGAGATGAAGAACTTGTTTTGGATTAAGCAAAATCCCTACAGCCATAAAGAAAACCTTCTTTTGTATCAGGAGACAGATGCTGTGAGGGAGGAGCTGCTGCATTTTAAAGCAGCAGGTGGTGGGACGATTGTGGAAAACACAACTACAGGAATTGGCCGGGATATGAATACTTTGAAGAAACTTGCTGAAGAAACTGGAGTTCATATTGTTGCTGGTGCTGGGTTTTATGTGGATTCCACTCATTCTCCTCAAACACAGGCCATGACAGTGGAGCAGGTAAGTCTTAAGCATTGCTTCAGTGCTTCTGTCCTGTGAATTATCCCAGGGTAAGCCAAAGTTGGAAAGAAGTTCCAGTAAAATAGATGGAATACAGGGGTGCTCAGCATAGAAAACAGGAACAGCATTACTGCTGATGTGTAATATCTGGAGCAACACTACTTTCATGTCCTTGGTTTATCTGTCAGAATTTTCAGTTCTTAAGCTCCATTTTCTTTGAGGGATTTGTCATAATGCAACAGGAAAAGGAAAACACAGTATTTCATGTGTGGACATTTGGTACACCACGTACTATCTTGAGGTTTTTACTAATTTTTTAAGGAATGAGTTTATCCTTGCTACCTCTTCTGTCACTTTTTCTGGCTAATTACTTCCCAATGAATTTACCCAGCATTCTTGTAAAAAGCATAGATAATTGCAGTATTTATAGGACAATTGTAAATCACTGCTCTGCTCAGGCTGTGTGTTACAGCTCTCTTCTCTATCATTTGTGCAGGCTTTTCAGGGCATAGTCTACATCAGCTTGTTGTACAGTGACTAAGACAATGTGTTAACAATAGCTGAGGTCCCCAGATGTTCCTGTAATAATAAATATTCATCTTTTATTAAGAAAATGTGGTGATGAGGAGAAGAGGGAATGGAACTCTCCAAGGTAGGAGGCTGTGAATGTGTATAAATAGAGCTGACAATTTTTTTTTTTAAATCTGTCACAGTTTACAAATGAGTCAAATTAATTTTAAAAATCAATGGTCAAAACCTAAGCAGTGCTGCCAGCAAAACTGGACCAAAATGTACACTAGAGTACTGCTTTTCATAAATGTTCATCCATTGTTTGAAATACAAATAGCAAGGACACAAATAGATTTCTCAAGGCAAAGGTTTCCCTTCTGTGTTTGATGGACTGATGGAGACCCACAGATTTCCTGTACTCAGTGCTTGGAAGGTAGGTCATCATCAGTACCATTTTGTGCTCTCAGTTCTGAATGTATGCTTAAGATACATGGCCTATCTGGGTAAGAAAAATTAATTTTTTTATAGCAAAGCAGTTTTATTAAGAGATTCTGATGGGTTTTGTCTATGCATGCTCTAAAGTAGACTAATTTTGATCCTGTAAATTTGTCAAATTAGCTTTGTTTTTGTAGTTCTGAAGTCAGCAGATCTCCTGTTGTTTTACCTTGGCATTCCCTTAAGCAGGTTTTGCCTTAAACTTGTCTCTTGAGGATGCTTACCAGAGTTTCTCTCTTCCTTTTATGTATGACAAGGTTTCCATATTCTCTGATCTCTTGTTTTGCAAAAATTACATTAGATTATGTCTGAAGCCAATTCAGGAGTGCAAGGCAAAGGTTTTGGAATAAACTAACCTTTAAAAAAAAAAAAAAAAAAGAAAACTTAATGTCTGACTAAATCAGAGTTCAAATTACATGTAGACCAGCTTTCTTGGCAAACCTGGACAAATGTGTGACTGGATACTGTTAAATTGATTTGCTTCTGTGTTTATTTTGGTCTTAGTGAATGGCTAGCATAACATTAGTTGACAGAAACCAGATTTTAACTGCAGTGCTTTCACACACCCAGCTGTTAATTAGATAAGTTCAGAAAGACCTTGGGAGCATGACTAACCCAGTGTCCAAACTAGGCCAAATTTGATGCTATTTAACACAAACAGTAATAATAACCAAAAATCTCATTTTCCTGTTCTCTAGCTGACAGAGATTATTGTTGATGAGGTACTCAAAGGAGCAGATGGGACTAATATCACGTGTGGTGTGGTGGGAGAAATAGGTTGCTCCTGGCCTTTGACTCCCAGTGAACACAGAGTGCTTCAGGCAACAGCACAGGCTCAGTCACAGCTTGGGTGCCCGGTTATCATCCATCCTGGCAGGAACAGCGACTCCCCTTTCCAGATCCTCCGCATCCTGCAGGAAGCTGGGGCTGATGCTTCAAAGACAGTCATGTCTCATCTCGACAGGTAAGCCGACTATTCTGCTGTGCTTCTTGCAGTGTTGCCACAGCTCACTGGGGCTTTGCAGAGCTACACTGGGAAAAGGTGACATAAAGTGTTACCCTCAAGTTAACTGACTCAAAAATAAGTGCTTATATAGAGCTTGATCTGCCTCCAGCACTACAGTCAGGATCAGGTTTTAGATTCACATTGATAAGAGATTTTGGTATTTTAAATACTGTCTTTGAAAGCCTGGCAGAGGGATTAGGAATAACTGTAGCCACATTTTAAAAATGGGATTTTCATTAATTTGTATCCCTGCAAAAATCCCTGTATTTACAAAGCACTGGACACTGAGCAGCTCTCACTAAATCAGGTTGGAAGTTGCTGGGCTTCCAGTGTTTTTGAAAACTGGGTCACTCTTAATGGCCTTGCCAAAATCTCACAGAAGCTAATGGAGATTTCCTTAATTTGGCTGGAGTCTGGATCAAAGCAAAAGGCAGATTTTTAATGTTCTACTACCAGATAGAGGATATACTGCTTAAAAAGAAAATAGTTGGGTTTTGGATAGTCCATAGCATAGACCAGATAGTTAACTTGTAGTTTCCTCAAGAACAAAAACCAGGAGCTCCACATGAGGCACGGAGAGAAATTGGGATGCTTTTCTGTTTCCAGTTTAGAAATATAGCCTCTATTACCAAATCAGTTTTGTATGACCTTGTGTTGCTCATGGTGAGCTGGAGTATGTCCAAACATTGATTAGTTTGGCCAGTTGCTGAATAATGGAGACTATTTGTGGTCATATGATTCTCAGCAATTGGATTGTTTGCCCTCAGTGTGAATGCAATACAGGCAACAGCACTGTGCTCCAAATTTCTCATGGTTACAGGCTCTAAGAGCTTGCAAATCAAACTACAGGTGTTTGTTATTCTCACTGAGCTCCTTGTTTTACTTGACGATTTTAGGAGCATAAAATTCATGCCATGAAATTATATTTGAATATTTATAAATTTTTGTATTTACCTGTGTTCCTCTGTATCTATAGCTGTATTTTTCACCCCTTTTTGAGAAAAAACTGATTACTTAAATCTTTTTATGAAAGAGGACTGAGCAAGCTGCAGGTATCAGTACTTACGTAGCCATTTTGATACAACATAAACATACAATTATGGCTTTTTACTTCTGCAAAAAGATTCTGCACTGTTGTAAATTGTTGAATTAAATAATTAATGGATAGAAATTAAGCAATATAAGTAGGAAAACAGAGGTGCAGTTTCAATAACAGACGCTGATGCAGAATATGACATTTCCTTTTATCTCTTTCTATCATTACTTTCACACATTCAGGTTGGCACTTGCTATAACATAAACTACTGTGAAGTTTGGCTTTGCAATGTGCATTTAACATTTTAAGTCTCCTCCAGTAAGAAAAATCCATGTGGGAGCATCCCAGTCCCTTAAATGTGAGATAAATTTGTACATAGCTCCATGTTTCATATCTGCATTTGCACATAGACAGAACGGTAGTTTTCCAGTGGATTTACAATTCAACGATAAAACTAAAATGCTACCATGTCTTGCAAATTTAGCACCTTAAAAAAAAAGGTATCCATAGTGGAACTACAGTGTACTAAAAGGCTGGAAGCAAAAGCTATTGAGCCTCTGCTTTATCCATTCATTAGGGGTTAAGGTTATAAAGGAGATCAACATCTTGACTCAACTCACTTGAGTAACTTCTGTTAGAAGTCTTGCAGCAACTGTTATGAATTCGGGGCAACATAACAGTTTGGTGTCTGTCCCCATGGTATTTATGGCTGAGGTCCAAATTATGGGGTGCTTCACCATGTCCCACCTCCTTTTCCATGAGCTCAGGGCTGTTCAGGGACAGTGTTGCCTAAACACCCAATTCCAGCTCAGAGACCAGCAATTTGAACTGGGAGCTGCTGCTGTTGCTACATCCTTGTGGCTCACAGTGGGACCCAGTGGCTGGGGAAACTAAGTTCTCTGGCTCTTTGTTGGGACAGAGCACCCAAAAGCATGACACTAACAATAGTTTTCAAAAGAAACTGTTCTGGCTGTGATTTTGAAATAGATTGTTAGGTATTTTTTGCTACCTGCACAGGATTGAATAGTCTTGGCAATTGTCTCCCTGTGAACTGGGCTGGGCTGGATCTAAAATAATCTGTTCTTTTGCTCTGCACTTTGAAAACTCATTTGGTGATAAATGTTCAGTCTCTGTAAACTGTAACATTTATTTTAAAATAACATTTTTTTATTAATTACAGTTGGCAAGTCTTACACTCCTGCTGATGGCAGGCTTGTTTGAACATGGATTTTCTCTCTCTCAACCCATCTGTTCCTCCTACTTGATCTGTTGTTAAGTCATAATATTGAAATTATGACATCAGTAATTTCCATAGCAACAGACTGTGATGTAATTGTATAAGGTAAAACTGCTTTGTGACATTAATATCTGCAATAATAAAAAAATCCCCCAACAAACTACTGCCCTTTTGGTTAGCTGTACTGCTCTTGTGGAAATGTGGTTTCTTCTTAAAAAAAAAAATTGTTTAGCAGCTATAAAGATAAAATTGTATCACTTGAGTGTTTTTGTTTTACTTTGAACAGTTTATACACGTGGTAAAAATGGTTCAAAGAAAACCCAAAATATTCCAGAGAACTCTTATTTCTGTTGCTGTTCTTTTCCAAATGAGTGAGAGGTGCTAGAAGCTTTGTTCCTTCACTTTTCAAATCTGTTGCAAAGCCCATGTCCCAGATATTCACAGTGCCATTATGTATTTTGGTGAGAGCGTTTCCTTAAGGCGTTCTGGCCAGATCCCAGTGCAAACAATGATGTATTGCTGCTCTAATGGCAATCTAGAAACATCGCTGTACAGAATAGAAACTAAAGACAAAGTTGTATATTACTGGTGTGTGATGGATGAAACAAGCCCTGGGTGAAGCTGTCTCCTGTAACTCTTTTGGGAGAGTAAATCTGTCTTGTGTGAGTAATCCATTGTCTTTTTTTTTTTTTTTTTTAATATCACTATGAATTAACCTGCTCCTTAAATGTCCTTCCTTGTTAGGTTGTCTGTTGAGAGGGTTAATGATATCAAAAGTAAGTAGCTTTCCTGTTTCTGTTTAAAGATTATTGTAGAGGCTTTCATTATTTCATGGGGAAAGAGTTGGTTTTGTTTTGGTTTTTTAATGCATGAAATCCCAAATGAATGTAGGAAGGACAATGCTGTGTATAGTCTTAAGTTGCATGTGTCAGACAGGAGTCCTGTTTGTCAAATGGGTGAATTATATCGTAGATTATTTGTTTTTTTCCTTGCAAGTAGGAGATCACAAAGTACCTGTCCTCATACCATAAGATGTTTTATTCCTGTTACAGTGCTGACTCTGTTTCATATGTTCTGCAGGACCATCTTTGATAAAAAGAAACTTCTTGAATTTGCTAAGCTTGGATGTTACTTAGAGTATGACCTGTTTGGTACAGAGTTCCTTCATTACCAGTTCCATCCGGATATCGACATGCCGAACGACAATGAAAGAATTGCAAGGTATCTTCTCCCATGCTGTTTAGCTATAGCATGGCCGTTGATAAAAAATATTATTGATAAAAAATACTTGTTTTAAGACCATCACAGAGTGACTCTGCTTGTTGTTCAAAACCGTCTTCTATCATACTGAAATAATGCCATTTCCCCTGCTGCTGTCACACTGTTAGAGCAGTATGTGTCATTTCTTCTGTCTGAGAGGAAGATGCAGAATCACAGTGTTGTAGGAAGTTACTTGAGAAGAAGATCAAGAGCTTTTTCAGCTTCATTCTCTGTCCTAATTCGATGCTGATCTGGTCAAATTTATGCAGTCTGTAAAAAGGAAAAGGATGACAATACTGCATTTATGTTAAGATTAAGTACTTCTGTTTGAAACATGGTATTGGAAACTTAGTGCTGCTACTAAACATCACGTGAGCCTGTTTTATCTCCTCACTGGCTTGCTAACCCAGCAAAACTCATTGGTTGTTTTGGATGGATTTGTGTGTCCATCCTGGAAAACTGCCTTTTTTCTTCCAAGCACTTTATCACCTTTCCTCCCACTGTCCTTTTGCCCTTTCTCTGTTTTGAAGAATGTGATTCCTGCCTCTTCAGGGCTCCCATTCTCTTCACACTCACTCACAATGTGAAAATATTGGTCCCACTGGCAGGATACCTCTTCCCTGCTTCTCATCAGCACCTGCAGTCGCAGCTCAGCTGCATGGCCAATCTGTTGTGCTGTGCTAACACAAAGTTTTGCCAAGGAGATACATTCTGTACAAAAACTGTCTGAGAGAAGGTAGGATCAGCTGGGAATGGACACCTCACTCCTTCCACTCCATCTGGAGGTGTGATGCTGCCATGCTGTTTGTCCACAGTGTTTGTGAGCAGTGAAGTGGCAAGTGTCTGAGGGTGGGTTGCCATCCTGCCTGTGTCTTTTTACCTTTCAGAGTCACAAATAGTTCTTTCACTCTCCTTGATGAGAAAGATTTTATGATTGCTGATTACTAATGAAGAAACTTCTAGCTTTCCCTTACATCTCAGACAGTTTCCCTCCCCCTCATTGTCAGATTAATCTTGAAACTAATCTGTTTTCAAACTGTTCTCTCCTAAGAAGGTGCTGTGGCTATTCTTCCAGCCTCCCAAGCATTTTCTGCTCCTTTTCACACTTGAAATTGTTTCTCTCTTAACAGTGCTCTCAGTCTTGCTACTCAGTATTTTAAACTGTTGCAAGGAATCCACAGTTTTCACTTTTAGAATGAGTAAAGTTGCTTCCTCTGCTGTGCCTCCTGCCCTCTCCTGTGCCATGGAAAGTCAGCATCTATGGAAGCACTGGGGAATATTTAGAGACGACTGGCCTTGGTTAACAAGTGCATGTTCAATTGTGGCAGAGTTTTCATTCCATCCATGATACTTGCTCAGACACCATTATGTCTCCTGAAACTCTCTAGTGTCTGAGTATTTCTTGCAGCAGGCTGTTCAAAGGAAGAAAATATGAAAGGTTTGTCTTCTCCTTGCACAGTGTGAGACTGTGTATTTGAGTTATATCGATGTACCCACCGTGGACTAAGGATAGCTGGGGCAATCTCCTTAGGCTTTTGTTTAGTGAAACAGCACCACAGAGGTAGAAGTCAAATTGACCTCTGAATGAAAATACTGAATTGAAAATACTTGTTCCCATCTTTTTTGTTCAAAACACAAACTTCTGTTGTCGTAACATGCGTACTTAACACAGTTTAGCTGTATGTGTACTTCAGCAGTTTGGATGCAGTCTACTGCCAATGCAAGCAAAACACTGACTTCTGTTCTTGGGCAAGTTGGAGTCAGAAGCATGTACTAACTAAATATAGAGGAATGAGCAAAAAGGAGCAATAGATACAAAATTGAAAGGATCATATGCCTCCCCAGCCCATTAAATCAGTCTAATATTAAAGCAGGTGGTTCTAATAATTTGTTTGGTCAGGAAAAATTTAGTCCTTCCAGTGCCATTAGTCTTACTTTCTGGTTGGCTTGTGGTCTCTCTGTATTTCAGGCTGGAGGAGATTCTTGTGATGTAAGACTATGGTTTACGTAGTGTTGTGCACTGTATGGCACAATGTACGGTGGGTTTTTGAAAAACAATAACATTTTACCAAATTCTACCCTATTTGCCTTCTTTCTGCTGCCCATGCTGATTTGATCCTGCTACATTTATCTCCTTGTAATTACCTGTAATAAAAACTGTCAGTGAGGGCTTTCAGATACAGTGTGGGTACTTGTGAGGCTAGTTTTTTTTTCTTGCTGATAAAAGCATTGTCATGAAGGTAAGAATGAAAACTTCACAACGCTGGCAAGTGATGGAATTGGAGGCCTTCATGAGGAATGAGCACTTTCCAGGGCTGGTCTGTCAGTCCCTGACACTTCAGTGCTGCAAACCTCTGCCAAACTAAATGGAAGCTTGACAGTCATGCAATACAGGAGTGTAGACATCCATATAACATAAATGCTAAAAAAAATTAGTTGATCAATGGAGTAAGGCTAGCTGAATGAAACGTGAAGCAGAAGGACTTGTAGCAGTCCTGCTACAAGAGTGTGATCAGAAGGATTACTTCTTTTTCCAAGCTGGCTTGTCATTTTGCCAAGCCTCTTTAGCTGCACTGCCATATTAATTAATGCCCCTTATTTCCTGGCATGTGCTGTGCCATGCCAGTCTTCTTTGTCTTCTTTAATGAACATCTTTGCAGTGTGTTTTGATGATAACTGTCTATATGGAGTACGATACTGGCAACTTCAGCTGTTTATTAACCTGCTTCGCTAAATGGGATTCAACTGAAGGTATGAAAGTACTTAAGTAATTGAGCCAGGCTCCTTTAAAGAGCTGTCACACACAGAGTCTGGTCATTAGCAAATGTAATGGGACCAGCTTTGTGACAGCAGCAAGTAACCTGCTGAGAAGGAATTTATGTAGGAAATTATTATTTACTCACTTGTATAAAACCTGTGTCCTGTGTGTGGTGATGCTGAAGTTCTTGAATTCCTCTGTGGAATTTATGGGTCTGGAAATGGAAAGTCATGTGCCAAAAGCAAAGTTTTACTTCTCCATTTTGATGTAAGTGGTGTTTTCAGAGATGGGATATTTTTTGTGCAATAAAAAATGTATTTTATTTTCAGGTAAACGTAAGGGTACAATCCTCTGAGCTCCTCAGTATTTCTGTTATAATACAGTCCAGCAGTACAGTAATGTAAGAAGTGTAAATGCTGTTGCAGTGAGAACTTTCACTGACAGGGATGCTTCCAACTTTTGCAGGATTTGTATGCTGATTGATGAAGGCTATGAAGACAGAATTCTGATGGCTCATGATGTGCACACCAAGAACAGGTTGATGAAATATGGAGGTCATGGATATTCACATATTCTTAAAAATATAGTTCCTAAAATGCTAATTAGAGGCATATCCCAAGATAAAATTGATAAAATACTCCTAGCAAATCCAAAGCGGTGGTTGACTTTTAAGTAGGAGCAATGAATAAATATGCCTGATTTATAAGGAAGCTTGATAAAATTCAGATTTCAGTAGAGCAGTCATTTTAAAAAAAAATTCTGAAAAGCTAAAAATTAAGCAGATGCAAACAAACGAATTGTAATATTTCTTTTTAATTAGAACATAAAAATTATATACTTTCTCTACATTTTCTCCCTTCTGAAAGTTTGCTCATTAATGATTTATTGAATATGAGCCTACCTACAGAATCTTTTCTTTTTCTTTCTGAAATTTTAAAATGACTGTTTCAAAAGCATAATCTGTTACTGAATGTTACCTCAAAACTACTTCTGAAGATGTGTCACATGGAAGGAAATTTCCTTGAAAGAAAATTAATGGTTTGCAGTTAAATTTCCTGTCTTCAGGGGCTGATTTTAATCCTTGTAATACTGTCAATCTTCTCATTATCCTCATGTTCTTTGAGTAATGCTTGATTGAAAGGTCTGAAAGTTTTAGTTAGCTTCCATTGACAAGCGAAGGCAAGAGGAATCTCAAATCAAAAAAGATAAGGTTTCTTTCTAGTTTAACAATTTACTTAATTGTAAATGAAAATGTAAAAAAATACATGGAAAAATATATTTTTGAATAAAGCATTTTGATCACCTCTTAAAGTATGTGCAGTATTATTACAACTGTCTTTTTCTAATTGCATTAATTTTTTATCATGAACTTGGAGTCTCACAGCAATCATGTAAAACTTGACACATACCAGCTTCTTTTTGTAAGGATGCAACACCAGCACTCAAAATATATTACATAATACAGTTTTAATGAGTTGTATTAGTTATAACAAAGGTTGTGTTATAAGTCTTTACAAATCAGTATATCAAGATATGATGAAAAAGGAAGAAATGTTTGCCTTATATGTGGCTTTCACATAAAGCGTGTTCTTTGCTCTTGTCTAACTTTAACCAGGGCAGGTGATTTACCCAAAAAATGGTGTTATCCAATAGCAGTGGTAGCCTGATTTCAGAAGCTTCTTCAGATTTGACCATGTATGTCTTGTAGTATTGAGCTTTACCAATACACACCATAGTAAAAGCACATTGCTGGTTGTGAATGATCTCTAGCTCTAGGTGCAGGACTGCTGGACACTACACAGGGAATCTCTAGCTACACTGCCAGCACTGGCCAGCAACAGCAACAGTGGAGCGAGCAGACAAGTCAGGTACACATCTGTCACTAAAATAATTGCCTCGTAGAAATTAAACAGGAGTAACCACTGCAGTGTACAGATATGAGCTGGCACTTTGTCGTAAGGTAAAAGCATTGCCCGTCTGGTGAGATAATACACAAGCAGCTGGCAGCACCGTGTCCCCTTGTAAACCCTGCATGAGTTTGCCTGGCGATCCTCTCAGCCAGCCTGGGCTCACTCGGCATTTGTTTGGAACTGAACGACTCAAAACAGAAGGAGTAACACATTCCGTTTAAGAAAAGGTTCACTCATTCAAATGAGATTTTTAGGGCGATGTGTAAAATCTCTATCAGACTTTTGCTGAGTAGCCAGCACTCGAGAGCTTTTTTGTCAGTGGCAGACACTTTGGAAATTTTAGTGCAGATAAATCTAAGTTTGTACCCTTATTACATTAGACAAGGTTGCTTGTGACAGTATATGAAATAGCAATGCTAGGGGTAGCCTCTGTTACTCTTTAGTGATTTACAGAAATGTCACCTTGATTTTGCCAAAAGGTTAAAAATAAATAACATAACAAACTGTGCTAAAGAAATTTAATAATCTTGCTGAAATTTACGTTTAGAATGAAATCTGCAAGATTTAACCTGAGAGAAATAGCCTCCCAAAACCAAAGCAAATAATAAATCAATTTTCTGAGAAAAAAAATTCTGTGGACATTACTGCTATGACTGATTTTAAAGCATTTTTATAACTATGTATCTCTGTTTAGTTTATTCTCCAAGCCATTAATCCTCTATATGGATTAAGCTTCTTTGAGATGTTATATATCTATATCTATATGAATGAGAAAAATAGGTTTTAATACACTTTTTTTTTTTTTTTGCATGTAAATATCTGCTTCTTTCTTTGCATATGTGTTACTATTTTTGGTAATGTGCTTCTCTGTGTCCATCTCGTAGGCACGCCTTACCACAAACTGGTACTAGCTTCCATGGAAAAGGTCTGTGTGACAGCATTTTCTTATGTGTCAGATCTCCCACTCTTCCTTTGTTGGAAAAATCCCACTGACTTCAGTGAGACAAGACACCTAAGACAATAAAGGTTGTCTGTATTCCTATGAAATTCTAGTGGAACATCTGCAGTATATTAATCCGTAACTACTTTATTTAAAACAGAACTCAGGTACAGACTAAGTGCTAAAAGACTAATGAAGACTAATTGCTGCAAAGAAACACTTTGCCTTAGTCTGATGGTGTGGATGCCAGGCTTTCTAAATATTTACACAACTAACCATCAAGAATGGGCCTGTAATAATTGTCTGAATATATATTTACATGTATACAAATTAAAAGCCAAATCCCTTTTCCACTAATAGCAGTGAGAGTTTTGCCATTTGCTTTGGTGGAATCAGGGATATGGCCCGATAGAATAATTTGTCAACTGTTATATTTTTCAGGGGAAAATAGTGTTTCTTCTATCTTTTTCTTTTAGAGGACAGCTAAAGGAAAGACAAAATTTAAATAACTCCACTGAATTGCTTTTTTGTTAAAAGTCTAATGTAAACCTACAAAATAGAACATTGAGTTAAGGCTTAAAGCTGATTAGTTTCTAGTTTTAAGTGGAAGGGTAAGAAAAGTACAAGGCAAACAATTTCTTTGCAGAGAGAAAGTGTATTTTGATTACCTCTTCCTTTTATTGTAAAATCATTCCTCACCACACTATGAGTGGACTCCAAGCATCATTGTTAGCAGATAAGTCACAAGAACCAAAGCTGAAGTATGGATAAAGCAGCAAGATCATAACACATCAAAGTATCATATACACTGAAGAAATAACTCAGCGTCCTTAAGTGGGCTTTCCTTCCCTGTAAAAATTGGATCTATGTAGAACTTCATTCACATGAACACTGAACAATGAGGAAGTATTTGCTTTGGCGGAAGTGGATCGCACATCTGTTTAACTTGGTTTATGATTTTTTTAACATAAGGTTTCTCTGTGTTGTACAGATGTGAATCAGGTAGCATTCAACTTTTCCCCCCCACTGCTGAGGTGTTCAGTGGTCACTCTGCTGGGGTGCTCGTTTCATTGACTTTTGCCACGCAATCCATCGCTTAGAAGAGCAGGCTTCATTTCTCGACTGGTTTGGTGGGTCTTTTTACTCATTATCAGTCAGCATAAATAATAAATCCAGAAAATGTGCTGTATTTGTTGTTGTTTCCTCCATGTGCTTTTCCTCCATCTAATTTAATGTAAACTTCATCTCCTGGCTCCAGGTGAAGAACCACGCTGTTACTGGCGTAGTCGTAGTTCTGATCAGCATCCTGAGCAATTGCACTAGCTCGAACCTACATAAAATACAGAATTGCTGGTTAAGAAAACTCAGGCAATTTTTCCTGCCTGGTGTAATTAAAGCATATCCTCAAAGTTTTATTCAGCATGCATGAGTTGCCACTTTAAACAAATGGCAACGTATATTGTAGTTTATTCCTGGCAATTGCTTATTTTCTCCTACTGTACTTCTGAAACTAAAGCAATAATATTCTCCTTTCTCAGTCATCTGATGAATACACAACTGCCTAATCTTCTGTAGATGTCTGGAGCCTTTTTATATGTGTAAGAATAGCTGGAGTTGGGAGAACTGGATCTGATCGTGTGCCAGTTTTATATTGGTGTAACTTTTGTATCAGTGGGACAAGTGATTGACAATTTTGAGGATCCACAGGGAGGTCCACAGGGAGCTCCCAAGATGGACTTTTTCCGGAGGCAGTTCATTGTCATACTAAGCAATAGAATCATGCTGCAAAAAAGCATACAAGAAGTACAACCCCCACATACACATGCACACAAGCAGTCTGGGTTTGGAGAAACTGCTATTACCACATTTCAGTAAGCAAACATTTAATTTCACTGTGTTTTAAGAGATGCACTTTTGAAAAATCACAGGCAAGTCACTATTTGCTGTAAGAGGTTTTTGGAATTTACAAGTCATTGAAGGCTTTTAATTTGCAACTTTCCCTTAAACATACTTTTTTTCCCATTTCTCCCTTGGTATTCCACTACTGATTAAATTTGACATTTCTTGCAAGCTAGAAGTAATCTGTAACTTCAAGATATGAGTTGGTTTCCAGCAGTGAACAGCCTGTGCCATTGTAAGCCTCCCAATCATTTATATATAATTTGACTCTGTTTGGTAAAATATTTAAACATGGTTGTATGTGATTTATTTCAGTGTAACACGTCATCTGCTTGTTGCTTGTCTTTGTTCTAGCGTAGTTACAGAGCAGTAAATGATTTAGTGGCATTGCAAATCTGAACTAAGTAATAATGCATGACTTGGCGTACTATATGTGGGATTTTTTTCTGCTCTGAACTGAAAAAAATAGGCTATAAGTCACAATTTTCCATGGATTCCTTTCAAAGTTTACATGATAAATTTCCAAATTAAATTTTCATGTGATATGATTTCACATTAATATTGAAATGTTAAAAAGGAGGGGGTTCTTTTACCATGCAGGATCTTATGGCATTATGCAGCTTAAAAATCACAGTAGGTGGAAATTCTTTATGCATCCTGTAAGAACAGTGAGAAAGGCTGCAAAGGCTTGCAGAGCTGTGACAGGCTGCAAATTTAAACTGATACATGGCATGATGATAAACCCCGACTATTTCAGGACTTTTTGGTCCTGACTTGCCTGGTATTGTTTACAGAGGTGATCTATTTTGCTAGTTGTTTAAGCAATAATTACTCTAAGTACTGGATGTTTCCTTTGGAATAGTGGCTGGCAGGGCAGAGCTGAAGGCTCTGGGCCATTAACCCAGGAAAGACCTTCCAGAGAAAATAATGGACTGAGGTGGCTGCCGGCAGTGGAAATGGAAAGGGCAAGTGGGGAGGAGTGAAAAGGCTACAGACAAGGTAGAAGAACTTCCACAGAGAGCTAGTATCTTGCATAATGGTGAGAAAAATGGTTTAAAGGACTTTTCAAATTCACGTTTGCTTCCTAATGAAATGCTGCTTTGTGGATTTGTATAAAATGTTGTGGATGGTAAGGGAAAATTTGAATTACATCAGTGACAATCCTAAGGGAGTCAGCATGTGGACACTGGCTGCAACAGCAATGGATATTTCATTTCTAAGATTCTACATAATACCTACTGGCTGGGAAAGAAAAAATATTCTGGGTATTGAAAGTCTAGAAACAAAATGCAGATGTTACTGCCCTGTGTGTAGCAGCAAAGGTCCTGTATTCTTAGTGGGTTTACCTTCTTGCTTGGTTAGCCAGAACAATTTCTTTTTAAAGCCTAGGAGAACAGTCTCAAATAAATTCTTCTCAAATGAATGGAGTGTACTGCTGCAAAAGGGTAAATGGATCTCAAAATTAAAGCATTATGAGACAATACAGTTCACAAGTTCCGTGTAAGTTCTTTCATGAAGCTATGCTCTCAGCTGCACACACATACCTAAGCTGTGCCACCCTGTTCAAGCTTGATAACCATTAAAGCAGACAATGTGGTAACACTGGGGACCTTGAGGTTTCATATATGTATTGCTTAGGAATGCTTTTTTTTTTTTTTCTGTAAGTCATACAGTTTTCAATGTTTTGGGTTTGTTTCATTGTAAGAGAACATTGGATTTATAATGTTGCCTTTGTCACTACATTTAACTACTTACTTTCAAAATTTCTGAGCTTCCTTACAAATATACATAGAGCCTGTCACATCAGCATTTAGTGTTTCAAGTATAAATCCTAATAAATCATTGAGGCATTAAAACTGTAGGTCAATTTTAAACTATTGATATGCAGGTATTTCCCTAAATATCTTGTATAGTATATACAAATGTACACAGAGAACCTCTCTTTAGGTGGGGTTTTTCTTTCTTCTTTAAATAACTCTGAGTTTGTCTCATGTCTGGCACTGGAAGTACCTATATTTGGAAATGGTTAGACCTCAGGTTCAATTGAATATTTGTAATTGGATGCTTCTTTAAAACTACTGCTACATATTTATTTTTCAGGATTCAGGAAAATAAGCACTCTACAACATTATAAATATGGGTAAAAATAGATCAATTCTTTAATTGTAAGTAAAATTGTATTTCTGCAGTGAAGAATATTGCTTTTGTAGGAAGATATCAAAGTGAATATACTAGGATGTACTTAGTTTTACTAGTCCTGGTTTATCTGCTGAGACAGTATTTATGGTAGATATTTTCTAATTTAATTAATTGTCGCTGATGTCCTCATTATTCCGTTTTCACAGTCCTTCTGAGGAGCCATAAAGAAAAGGTTAAGTGGCATATCAGATTAATTTACTGGCCGCCGCCGCTCCCGTGTGCGCTGAGCACAAAGGGCGGCCGGCCGCCCGTGCTCGGCTGGGGAGGAGACGCGCAAACGAACGCGGCTGTGCGCGGCCGCCCGGCCCGGCGGGGACGCGGGGGCCGGTGTCCAGTCCTAGGGACACGGCGGGGAGCCCAGCCATCCCCCAGCCTACCCCGCCGGAGGGCGAACAGCCCGGGGAGAGCGGCAGCGCTGGCTCCGTGGTCCCCGAGCGGCCAGCCCGCCTGCAGCCCCTGCCCGCCGGGACGGCTCGGGCGCTGCGGGACCTGTTGAGCCGCCGGTGCGCGGAGGGTCCCCGGCCCTCCTGCCGCACGGGAGCACCGCGGAGCTCCGGGGACACGGGAACGGTTGGGCAGCTCGCACAGTCCCTGGGCATCCAGAGCCTTGAGGGATGGCGGTGCCTCTAAGGGATGGCGTTTGCAGGCTGTGCCACAGGAATTTTTTGCCAGCCTAACCGTGTCTGTTAACTACGCACGGAAGAGGCGCAAAATTGCGAAGGAGGGGTTACAAGGGGGCAATGTAACAGGCAGTGGCTACGTTTATCCTAATTAAAAGGGATGATTCCTCTGTATTTCAGACGGCAGCATCGCAAGGCCTTTAATTATTTCCGATGCCTTTATCCTGCCCAGGGGATGCCGACAGACTCGGGTCCTGCCCGGGCTCTCCGGATGCCCGGTGTGCCTCCTGGCACGGTCCGTCAGTCTGCACCGGCTCAGGTCTGCGGGCGCCGAGCTCGCTCTATTACCAGCTCTCCTGACAGGGAGAGAAGGCTCGCACCCCTCCGGGGGCTGAGCGTGCAAAGCCCGGCGCTCCGCTGCGTGGGAGCCCCGTCCCGTGCCGGGGCTGCGTTCCTCCCACCCACCTCACCCTTTCCCCACACAGCACCACCCTCTCCTGAGCTCACCGGCCCTGGCTCCCCTTTCTTGCCGGGGACTTTCCCCTCTCCGAGGGAGCGCCGGGCTCTTCTCGTCCCTACGGGGCAGCGCTGTGTGTATGCCCGCCCCCCGCTCCCGTCCCGGCAGAGCTGCGAGCAGCGCTCCGCGGCCGGGGCGGTGGCCGGGGCGGGCCGGAGGCTGCTCTGCTCGGACAGCAGGCTGGGAGCGGCACCTGCGGCGCGGCTCTCAGAGAGGAGAGCGCGTCGAGTCCGCATTCACCCAGCAGCCCGGGCGGCCTCGGCTCTGCGCGCACCCGGCCCCTCGGCAGCCTTCGGGCACCCGCGGCGGAGCGGGGCGGCCCTCCCGGCAGGTTCCCCGCCATCGCCCGCCTCCCGCCGCCCGGGCTCGGGCTCCGCTCCCCTGGCACGCACCCGCGCCGCCTCCAGCGGCCGCCCGGCTCCCCCTCCCCGCCCGCTTCCCGCCCTTCCCGCGCCGCTCCGCCCGCTGCCCGCACAGCGTCCGCTCCCTCGGGGAACCCCCTTCGCCCGGGGCCCCCTGCCCTCCTGTCCCCGGCTGGCCCCGGCGCGGCGCCCACCTGGTTGTTCTTGCAGAGGTCGGCCCACATGCTGGTGCCGTCGCCGCCCCGCATGAGCACATGGTAGGTGAAGAAGTAGATGCCGGGGATGGAGCAGGTGAACTTGCCGGTGGTGGGATCGTAGTGGTTGCCGAGGTTGGTGACCACGTCGTCGAACTTGAGCACCTCGTAGCCCTCGTGTTGCCGCTTGAGGCCGGCGTAGAAGGCGATTTTGGGCACGGTGCTGTAGGTGGCGGCGCTGATGGCCCCCGCCGCGTTCAGCCCCGGCGCCCCGGGGGGGCCCGGCAGGCCCTGCCGCCCCGGCTCGCCCTTCTCACCCGGCGGCCCCACCGGGCCGGGCGGCCCCGGCTCTCCCGGCGGGCCGCGCGGTCCCGCTTTGCCCGGCCGGCCGGCCTCCCCCTTGGGCCCCTGGATGAAGGTGGGCAGGGACTGCATGAGCCCGCGGTCGGGCGTGGCCGCCGTGCTGGGCGCCTTGGTGCCGCCGTAGGGGTCGCAGACCATGCGGCAGGTGCCGAGCATCTCGTAGTGCGCCGAGGTGCCGGCTGAGCTGACCAGCACCGGGATGAGGATGACCAGCAGCAGCACCATCACCACCCCCAGCGCGCCGGCCGCTATCAGCCGCCGCCTGCTGCCCACCAGCCGGCTCAGCGCAGGGCGATCCTCTTGTCTGCTTTTGGACAAAATCTTGATGGTTGGCGGGGTTCCTCCTCAGAGCCGAAAAAACGCCGAGCCCGCGCGAGCTCGGCTCCCCTGGGGCTCGGCCGCCCTCCCGAGGGCCGCCGGTGTTGCGGGGGATCCCGCGGGTCGCGGCGCTCCGCTGCGGCCGCTGCAGCCGCGGGGCGGGCGAGGGAGCGGAGCGGAGCGGGAGAGGAAGAGCTGCCGCCGCGCCCCGGCCGCCCGCACTTTTATGCTCCCGCTGGCGATCGACTTTTTTTTTTTTTTTTGCAGGCTGTGCCACTCCGAGTCAACTTTCCCTGGAACTTGCCTTTCCTCTCGCGATCGCCCCGCTCGCCTCCTCGCTCTCTCTCTCCCTCCCTCTCTCTCTCTTTTCGCAGAGACGACAGTCCTCAGCGGGGACGCGCCTCCCGGCCGCCCCGGTGCCCGCCGCCCAGTGCCCGCGCCGCCGCGCCGAAGCCGAAGCTGGAGCCGGAGCCGGAGCCGGAGCCGGAGCCGAAGGGAGAGCGGGATCCTGCCCGAGTGCCACCTGCCAGGAGAGGAGGAGGCTGACGAGCGCGCTGGAGCAATTTATAGGCACCCAAAAGCGCAGGGGAAAGGGGAGCTGCTTTGGCATCTCATTCCAGCATCTGCTCTGCTCTTCCCACTCACAGAGAGTTTGGCATTACTCTGGCAGTGTGGGAAATATATATTTTTTTTTCTTTTCTCCCTCCCCCACCTCTCCCGCAAACGGATGAACAGCGAAATCGTGAGCCTCACTCACTAGCTGCATCTTGTGATGACAGCTCTTTCTGAAGCAGACCGAAAGGAAGAGACGTGCTTAGCAGCCTCTGGGTACCCTTCAGGTCACCGATCGAGAATTAAAAGGTCAATCCACCTCCTGCTTAACGCTTCCCTGAGGCCACTTTGCCATGTTAGCGCTTTCCGGGAAATACCGCTTTAAACGCAGGGATGCTTTACCAATTGTCCAAGTAAAAGTTATTTGAAAATATACCTCCCACAATAATAAAGAGATTAACGGCAATTTCGGATCTCCCTCTTCCTCCTCGTCCCAATTGCAACCATAAAGGCAGAAAAGGAAATAGTTTTTCCTCTGAATTAAAATTGACGTGCTCATCACCGGCTACAGTTTCCCGGTGTTAAAGCCAGCCGCTGCTCTGCTTGCAAACTGACACTGAGGGAAAGTGTTCTCTTTTGTTCAGAAGCCAAAGAAAAGTCCGGGGTATATGCAAATTGCCAGATGCTTAAAACCTGATATAAAGATCTCTTTGGCTTAACTCAAGGGCACCAAAGCATTTTGTTTAATCTTGGAGGCTGGTTTTGTTTTTTTTTTTTTTTTTTTTTTTTTTTTTTTTTTTTTTTTTTTTTTTTTTTTTTTTTTTTTTTTGTGGTTGTTTTTTGTTTTTGCTGGGTTTTTGGTTTGTTGTGGTTTTTTTTGGGTTTTTTTGTTTGTTTGTTTTTGTTTGTTTTGTTTTTTGTTTTGGTTTGGTTTTTGGGTTTTTTTGTGCATGAAAGGCTTCTCCTCCCCCAGGGTCTGGTGGGCACCTTTGTGACTGAGTGGGAAGGTGAATGTGCAGTATTAGTGGCAATGTTGCAGAGAAAATATTAAAGAACTTGTCCTGCTTACAGATATACAAGGTACACAAAGAGCTGTTTAAATAAACAAACAGAATTGATTCCTAAATCATACTTCTGTATTCAGGAGCAAAGGACGTCAATCAAAGCTGGGTGACATTTGCCTGTCAATACAGGGATGATGGCTGGAAAGAGTGTGACTTATTACAGCAAGGCAAGAATCAGAAATGAGCAACAACGGCAAATAGGACAACAACCAAATAATGGCATCTCCAGTGATGATCAGAGGGCTGTGATCTTGTCTTGGATTTTATTAGCACGAATCTGCTCTCCCCTCACTGTTCTCTTTTATTTCTTTTCTATTCCGCAACACAATAAGGTCAAACAAGCAGGCAGTGGGAAACAAAGATTCATTGATTCTTCCTTTTAAGCAGAAATGTCAGCAGCTCCTTTTGCTCTTTCCTGAGAGACTCAAAGGCATCGAGTGTGTCCATGCCGTGCAGAGATGGGCCAGTCCAGCTCCTTATCTCCCAAGAAAACTGTCGACAAAGCTTCCATTCACGCACTTGTAAATATTCCTCCCTCCCTTTTTTAAAAAGTTTTTTTTTTTACTTTTCTCTAATGCTCTGTATTAAAAAAAAATCCTTATCTGGCACTGACACAAGCTAGCCAGTTCCCTTAGCTAAGGGCTTCCCCTCAAGACCCAGGAAGACAGTCACAGACACTTGCAGGATTATGCTCATATCTCATTGCTCTCTTCACCCCATGGGAAAGGGCTTTCAGTGCTGTTTTTTCTTCTGGGCAGGAAAAACTGAAAAGATGTGCCAGAAGTGACTGCCCTGTCTCTGCCTGTAGCTGGGCCCTTGAGGTGTTGTATTTAGCCATCCCCAAGCCGGCTGGTTTTTGTGACATCAGGGTGTGCATAAGCCTTCATTGCAATGGCTGTGGTACACGTTAGGCAAAGGGCAGATCTCATCCTCAAATAAACACAAACCTGTCGTGATCTGTGAAGCCATTTTGACCTTTTGGCATCAAGCACACTCTCAATTCCTTACTCCAGCTATGATAAGCCTGATTCTTAAAGTGAGGTCCTACCATGCCAACCATGTTTTCCTTAATAGTTTTATCCTCACACATAGAGCCTGGGATGCTCATTTACCCTGAGCTGTTGCAGACCTTCTCCCAAAGAAGACAGCCACAAAAATCACAGCAAGAATAACCAGAATAGAGAGACCAAGGCAAATACTGGGATGTCAGCAGAACTTATATATTAGCTTGGAACATAACCTGTGACCTTGGATTTTGTTACCAGATTAACTTTAGTTCCCTAGGAAAAATTGTATTTTCTTGGAAAACTAAGACTGGGAAACCAAAGTGCTTAGAAGTTATGCACCAGAGATCTCACCAGCCTGGTGCAAATTAAAAGGAAGAGCAGGAAACTCTTTTTACTGTGGGATCTTTGTTGTCCTGAAATGGTATGTCAAAAAATTGATCTGCTGTAATTAAGGCTTGGGTAGCACTTAGGTTATAATCTCTCCATGCTAAAGGCTGACAGTCCAGATTGACAGTCCATTCTTAGTGTAACCATTAAACCTATATGAGCTGCTGCCAGTCTTAATGTGCCAAATTTATTTGTATTTTTGAAGCCCTCTTGCTGGCTGGCTTCAGCCTTTCAGCTTGTTTGCTTCCTTCCCTGTTCTCTGGGTCCTTGTGCATTCAGACTTGCAGGTGGTGTTCGAGCGGTATCCCCTGCAGCTACTGCCATTTGCAATAACCTTGTCACAGCCCTTGCTCACTAATTAGTTAATATTCATACAGAGACTTAAAGACATGCAGCATAACATGCATGTCCCTTTTACACGTGTGCTGTTGTCTCAGCGCTAACACAGGGGAAAACTGAAGAAATTCACTTACGAATTCATCCACTGGCACGCAGGGCAACACGTCCTGCAGGCACCAAGCACAAAATGGCTCCTCATGCCTGCCCTGCTAAATTCAAAGTTAGCCCAAGAAAAATACTCTGTGAAAAAGGGCAACCCTTTACCAACTACAATAAGCAGGAGTAACATGGAAAAAGGCATATGCCTAGCAAATGAGTGTGCCAGTGCTGTGCCAAGCTCCACACTGCTTCTGCTGACTCCTATCTGCATCTGGCTTGCTCTGACTTACATTTTCTATCTCTTTTATTATTATTTTAGAGACGTATTTTGAATTTCACTCTGCTCAGAAATTAAGGCTTTGTTACACCATACTGTTATAAGCACTGGTTTAATTTTGTATGTAAAGGTTAGCATTTCTGCCTGGATACCAGTGATATGGTCAAGGAAAAAACATGCACTCATTCCAACATGTAATTATGCTCAATGCTGTAAAATATAAAGAGGGAAAAATATCTCTATCACTATAGGTGACTCAAAGGTACCATGGTGACAGACATGGCAATGACATGTTGCTATCCCAAACCATCCCTGGTATCCTATTCCCTGTCTGTTTCCTTAGTTTGGTAAAATCAGCACTGGCATTTGTGTCAGGTATCAGGTCCTGGAGAGGACCACATCCTGCACCAGTTTTGGCAGGAGACTGTACAGGCAGCTTTAACTAAACTCTCACAAAACCTGTTTTGGTCAGGATGACTGAAGACCAAATATGTTTATAGAGCTGCAAGATGCCCACTGTATTCCTTAATAAAAATTAGGCTTTTGATTCTGATGGAAAGAAAATCAGCTTTGGTGTGTAACAGAAAAAAAATTGTTTTGCTGATTTTTGGAAGTTTTTATCTGTCCTTTGGAACATAGGAAGTCCTTTCCCAGGCTGTTCTCTGCTACTAAGGGATTTGAGCCATCTTTATATGTGATTGGAAATACTGTAGACTAAGATTTATTGCAATTAATAAAATAAAGCCCTTTGAAGACCAGTCTCTGAATGCAAAGGTAGGAAAATGATCCAAAGAAAATGTATCCAGCCTTGAAGGGGTTACATCCACTTTTCAAATCCAAATGGGGAGGGAATTCAAGGAGGGCTGTCGCTGAAGTGACAGGGCTCAACAAGGAGAATTTGCAAATAAATTTGACATATTTCTTCTTTTTTAGTTTTTAATCTGAAAAGATCAGTCAAATATGACTGGTTACTGGGGGGAGGGAAGGAGTGAGAGCAGAATTAAAGTGGAAAGATTGGAACCAAAATCATGCATGTCATGTTTTGACTGGTGAATTACCGCAGATATAAAAACATAACTGTATGTAAAAATAAATCTTAAACACATAGGGACCTAAAGATTACACATTCAGCTGACAAAGTTTATGGATGTAGAAGAATCATATATGACACCTGATAATTGTCAACATAAATAGCAGTAATTAACCATAAAA